TGACGCGTTCGGCTACGGTGGTGGAGAATAAAGTCAAGCCACCCGCTTCAGAGTCCATCTTTCCAGACGCCCTGATCGCGGTGTCTGAATGAGCCATGGCACGGAAGAAGTTGAGAAGCTTGATAGCAGGCTATAATTGAAGACTAGATGAGAAACGTTCTGGCCAGCTATCGAGATACACGTACGATGCGTTTCATGGTCTCTTCGTTCAAGTCCTTGGCACTCGATTCAAGCCTTTCGAACCACTCTGAGAATGGCACAAGAGGTAGCGGGTGACTTGTTACTTTACGCTCAACCAAGGCGTCCGCAATGGGCTGTATCAACCCCTTCCATGCAGTCGGTTTCGGATGCACCAGATTCACCACGATGGAAGGTTCTTCTTCCGCGAAAGCTACATCAAGAATAGCATTTGATATGGCGTGGGGAGGGATCCAAGACACAAACTAAAACGCGCATGTCACGAATGAATACCCTCAATAGTAATGCACTTACTCCTTGAGCTTCCGGAAGTGCGCCTAGACTTATACTTGATTTGATGAAGATCGGTACCCAGTTTGTCGTTGACCAAGCTCCTCGCGGGGGGCCTCCTGATACTTGTCCAATCCTGAACGATGTTGCCGGTAACTCGCTATTGACGAGAATCTTAATGGAAATGGTATTCATAGAATTCATGCCCCCGAAGTAGCCTGTGACTTACCCTTTCCGAAACGTATTTGCTCGCCCCATAGCCAAGGCCCACTGCGACCCCTGCGTCGTATTCCACCTCTTCGGGGAATGGTCCTTTCGCTTGATCCCAACTTTGAGCAGATGAGATGGAAGATGCGAACATGAGGCGCGGCTTTGGATGACGGGGAGAAGATAGTGCCAAGTCTATAAGATTCCTCATTCCCCGTACATAAGAGTCAAATGAAGAGAGCGCCAGATTGAAGTCGAGTCGCCAAGCGTTGTGAATGATGACAGTAACAGACGTGCGGATCTACGCTATCTTTAGTTAATTCGATGACACTGGAAATGACGCTAACCTTCTGATATAACTCTTTATCCAGACCTAGGTTGTCGTGGGATGTATCAGTTTCCACATACACTAGTTTGTCTGACTGAAGCACGGAAATATCTAAACCGCGATCTTCGAACGCATCTTCCTGTCGTTGTTGTATGGATGTCCCCTTCGACGGGCGATTGAAGGCATATACCACAGACACATTCTCGCGCTGGAGTAGATCTGCAAGCAGGTATGAGCCAAGACCACCCGTAGACCCGGTCAGGACAACCCCATGATTGCTTTGGCTACGTCCATTGACTAGAGTCTCTGTGACAGAGTTCCCTAACCCGACTGAATACTTCGCGATCATGTTCTCGATATCAGTCTTGGCGTCGACGGTAGTTGCACCATCCTGCTGCAATACTGCATTAATGACGCTTCTCGCGAGCTGGCGAATCGAAGGGCTTGAAAATATGATGTTCTGGTCAATCCGCAATGCTGATGCCTGAAGGTCGCGATCTGAAGACGAACTGAGAGAGCCGATAATGCGGTTTTTGAGAAATGTCGCAGATAGACTAGATATACAAAGTAAGCAGGGCACTAGCCTTTGTTAGTTTGGACCCACCTGTCAAAGCCCTGAGTAAAAAGGTCCGCATCAGGATCAACTTCCTTGTCGGCGTTCACAGCAGCAGCGTGGACCTTGAGCCATCCCTCGACGTCTTCCGCAGTCCAGCTTGTAGGTAAAGGTACATCAATACCTGCTCTAGCGCTGCCCTCTACCTTTTCATATCTGTCACTCATGAAGTCTAGTTGACAGAGTGACAAATGGATACTATGCTCACAGGGCATTAATCTCCTCCTCATACAACTTGACGGTTAATTTTTTGTTGACGGTCCCTTTTGCAGCTCGAGGCATGGGCTTCTTACTATATGTCACAAGAATCATTTCTTTGAAGATCCTGCTGAAGGCAGGAGCCTCCTTATTCGCTTCCTCTATGTCCGGCCTTCAAGAACATCTTCAGACTCAAGAGTAGCATGCGATCTTTTGGGGGGCTTACCACACTCGGTTCCTAAACTCAGCAAGTTGATTTTCGTCATCAACATCAATTTCAGACCCTGCTCGTGGCTCTACGAGGATCCCAACTTGATTGCGTCCACGGCCAAAGATGACGGCGCCGGTTACGTAGGGGTTAGCACAGACAATGCTTTCCATGGGAGCCGGTACTGTCTTCTCCCCGGACGAGAGTACCAAAACGTCGTCGATCCTTCCTACACTACAAGGAAGATGTCAGAGAACATAAATAACGCAAATTTCAGTCGTACATCTTCCACAAACCCTCTATGGTCGGGTGCTTGATGAATACATCTGAAGTAGCATAACCCTTGACGTCCGGAAGATTCTCTACTGATACTTGATGCGTCGGGGTTGTCTGCGAAAAAGCATTCAACGCGCGTTCAAAGATCAACTCGGAGACGCACCAAAATTTGACATTCATATGTGCCATCGCCCTGTGGAGCCCATCTGATCTTGGAATTTGGTCCAAATCGCAGCCAGTCCCACAACTTTTGATCGACCGAATTTCGGATGGAATAAGTGACGACACCAAATTCTGTAGCGCCGTAGCCAGAAGTAAGCTTGACCCCTGCATCCGCCAGAGCATTTCCCGTCTTAGGCGCGAGAGGACCGCCACCATAGGCCTGCATTTGTATCAGCACGAGTCATTCCTTGTTATAGCCTCAAAAACAAACTTACAACATATTCGAGATTCTTCAGAACATCGACAGCACTCGGCGAAGACGCCCATTGTTCTAGAAAGGCAGGCACGACTATCAAAGCATTTGATTTCGTCTCGAGTATAGTGTCCAGGATGTTTTGCGAGTTGGGTAGTACAGGCGTCGCCAAGGGATCGAGGAAGGATGTAGGCGGGTAAATAGACACACTGCTCAGGGAGGCGATAGGGGTGACCAGCTGAAAATATACACCAAGGGTATGGAATGATGGTAAGGACGCAGCACAGATGCGAATAGGAGTGGGAAAGTTGATGAGGTCGAAAATAGATGCTAACGGCACTCTTAGCGTTGTTCGCTATGCAGACTATTTTGCTGACTCACGCGTTATGCACCAGTGGATGGCAGTCAAGTTAGTTACTGGAATGGGTTTAGGGAAGCCAGTGCTGCCAGAGGAGTGCAGGTAGAATAATACATCGTTCCAAGACGATGGCGAAGCTAGGGAAGAGTACGGGACAATAGCCTCATTGGGAGTACCACTAACGAATGAGGGGTACAGGTGTTCCAGCGTCGGAATCTCGTCAATCTGTAGCTGACTCGTTTGAGTGGCAGACACAAGACCCGCTTCGACCCCGTCGATAAGGGAAGCGAGAGAGTGCCGAGTCGTGATTAAGCGACGGCACCCTGTCTTCTGCATCATACTCGTGACTGCTGGCACCGAATTCCGAGGAGACATGGGGAATGGCTTGAAATAGCAGTAATCAGAAACCCGATTATTCAGAAAAACTATGTACACACGACTAGCCCAGCGAAGATGATACCCATGAATACTGTCTGGTAAAGAAGGGTGTCAGAGTTCCCGATGAGGGCGACGACTTCTTTATGTGCGCCTGCAGGGGCTGTTCTAATTGCCTGGGCAGCCCGATGACAAGCTCGATAGAAGTCTGAGTGAGAGATAGAGACCAGGTCGTTGCTGTCAGGTTTGTGGTAGACAAAGAAAGGGACGTCCGAGTTATGTTGCGCATTGAATTCAAGCAATTGAGGGAAGGACAGAGATCCATCGAGGGGAGGGTATTTGAGAGCGACCATGATTTGTATGATTGTAGACGTTTAGGGTGATTATTGATGCGAGATATCGTGCGCATGCACAAATAAGTAGTCATTTTCAAGCGGCATCTCGAAGAAAGTTCCGCGATAATTAGGATTTACTGGGAAAGCAAACGTGCCGTCTATTCCTATCTGGATCTACAGACGCTGAGGCGTAGTTGATGTCGGGAGAGAGCTTCCCTAATTGGTGTCTATGACCAAGCCATTCTGCGCATAAAGACCGGTCAGCCAGTAAGTACAGCATACACTATCTCACAATGCATAGCCTTCAGGATGCGGGGCAGTGAGAAATCGTGCCATAATGCATCAAGATTTTGCGGTCCCGACGACGTTATGCATCATGAGTAAACTGAATTTGCTGAACAATAGACACAGACGGGGAAAAAGTGAGGCTAACCGTCGGTGTGACGAGAACGACAGGCCCTTGGCAAGGAATTAGCATGAACAAAGCGAGTAGGAAACACAATGATAAATAGACTTGTACTAAGATTTACTTTGGAGTTGGGGTCCAGGACGAGTTATTTTTGGAACTCCGCTCACGCAAATGAATTTGATTCGTACAAAGTTTTACTTGTTTCTTGGGGATAGATGATAAGGAGGATTAAAAGACGTGAAGCAGTGACAAGTGTCGGAGAGAATGAGTTCATTTGAGCCCCGTTTCATCCACCCCCCTAAAGCATTATGGTCATCACGACTACCGCTCCGTCGAAAACCAGGAATAAAACATCAGGATCTTTCCGGGTTGTTGACAGATGGCATGTGTACATCAGAAACTTGCATCGCTTCACCCGAATAAAGACGGAGTTTGGAAGAGTTTGATCTTTTACGCAGTAGACGCTACACTCATCTCCGCGCAGAAGCTCAGAAGCTGCACGTGCGAGCGCCAACCAGACCTTATAGTGCCTTTTACGATCTTCCGCATCCTGGCCCGCCCTTTGAGTTGTAGTCATCGAGCTTTACATACACTGAAAAGTTAATCTAGAGGTAAGTACTTTGGGAAAATAAAACTGCTTGATTGAATTGGAAGGAGTAAGAAAAGTCAAAGGGGCAGGCAATCTAATGGGGTAGACATAGAGACAGGGTACAAACGTGATAGCTAGTACTCTACTTCAAGATGTAATCAACATAGAGGAAAAGTTGAGAAATACCATAAGAAAGGTATCCATCAAGAAGACGACCTCTTCTACATGATCTCCTCCAGCTTATACCTTCCTTGGGTGTGGAATTTGAAATACCCATTGAAAAATGCGACATAGGCGTCATATGCCTCAGGACGCGGTCTCAGGAATTCGAGGATATTGTGATGTGCTTGCACAGTTTTCTCGACCAGTTCCCGGAGAGCGGACTGTTTGGTAAGACCACGAGAGGCCGCTACGAGCGACAGGTAGTTTGCGGAGTCACCTTGGATCTCCTCTTTGTAGTATGACAATATATCACTGAATTGTGGCAGGTTAGAAATGTTAACAGAAAATCATCGATTTAATAATTACTTTGTGTGGTTTATGACTATGACCAGATCGAGCATGCATTGAACGTATTCCTGAAGCGGGAGTGTAGAAGGGAAAATGCAGTATGCGTACGCATACGCTATGCCTGATAGCATCCTAGAATAATCGGGGTATGAGGGAGCCTGCGGCGAGATCTATTCACACAAAGGGTTAAAGATCGAAGTTGGCTTTATTGGGGAAATACCATACCCGCATATCTTTGGTCTCATGGTCAAGTAAAAGGGAAGACACATAGTCGAGCCCGGACGTCACGATAAAATTTGACACCGGTGCAGGATAATGGCAAGCGACCTCCCGTATGAGTCCATCGAGCGCATGCATAACTGGATGCTCGTGCGGCTGACAATTCGCGAACCGCTCGTTGAAACGGTACACATGCACTAGATCTTTTCCACTGGTCATTGTGTCGTCCATGCAGGTGCATACGACGGTGAAGAGGCAGATCCACATCTTGGTTGGACGGTCCGGGAGGTGGCCGTAAGCGTTAGACGTTATAGCCACGCCAACAGACATGTATGGGAGGATGGCGTCCATCGGATAGCCTCGTTTGGTGGCCTCCTGGCAGCATTCGGAGTACCACGTCTCGTCAAGCGGGACATTCTTATATTGCAATCCACAACGCTGAAGAAATCCGGTGATGGACTGGCGGATGCTTCCTAGAACCTATATTCAACATCAAAATAGGGACATGGAAGGGTATTAAAACACAAGCACGTACTTTGCTATCGAGGGTGGATGTGGACAGGCTGCTCATCGTGATTGTGAAAACTTGTAGAGAGATTGGAGATTGGAGAAAGAATGGGTTGCATGTACCCTGTACTTATACTAGTCTGTGGTCTATGACGTATGTCGATTCATCGACGAAGGAGAGTCTTGTATGCTATACGGGACCGTCCCCGGGCTGGCACCCACATGACATGCCATGACTGTAGAGCAATCGCCACATAACGTTGATCGTGTGCAGATCACGTTGCAACTACATGACCAGAGATTTCGCGCTCGATATAATCCCTTCGGAGGCAATATCATATAACCAGATCAGATGCTATCAGATAGGCTGATAATGAAGCGGCAAACGTGGTCCTTTCGAAGCGGTAACGCCGGAAGCCCGGAAGCTAGGTAAGTATGGAGATAATTGTGTCTCCGTTTCCAATCTCACTTGGGGAGAGCGTGATTTTTGGGGGATTGCTGGGCCGCAGTGTTATCAGAGATAAAAAAACTGCGCGCTCCGAGTCCGTTGACTAAAGGGAATGTAACTGTGAAATCAGTGGCCCGCAGCCGATGCGATGTCATCTGACGCTTTGTGATTTTGGAGTGGGATAAAGCTTTTTGATGACTTACAAAAAATACATTCAGAAATTCTTCGAGAAGCGCAGATACTCACCTGATAACCATAACACCTACCCTTGAAAAAGAAAGAGTGTCTGTAAGGTTTGGCTACGAGAGATTAGTAGGCGTTGCAACGTGATATAACTCACGCTAGTTAATTTGACCTCGCGGAATTAGCAGTGATGATCTGGTCTCAGAGGACATTAACCAATCATCGTTGCAGTCTCACAGTCGAGACTTCTGAACGTAAGAGATCTGTAAGATGTGTGTAAACATGCATCTAAGTAAAGCCAAGTCCTAGGCCCGAAAGAGCCGGGAAAGTCCATGATGCAGCCAGGGCCCCCGTGAATGAAGTTCGCATTGAGAATTGTGAGTATGATATATGACGGTCGACCACCTTATAAGCGTACCACACGGCATCGATGATCTGCTAGTTGTCACTTTTGGCAGCGTCGTTTACGGGAAATATCTCAGCTTACTACGTCGCAAAGCCTGTTGCTTAGTGCCCGACGTGGGTCTGAGTCTCTGAGAGTGTGTCCGGGTACCAGAGCACTTCTGCCCTGGTAGCAGTGTACGACTTGACATCATGATGAACGTCGCGGAATGTTCGTGGTCTTGTCGGGACAGTATTCCTGATTCGCTTACGTTCAACCACAGCGATCTCGACTAAAACTCCGACACTTGACCACTGTCACAGTGTCACAGGTAATCATTGCAACCGAACAAGCCCCAAACCGAGATTGTGTTCGACCTCCACTAACGTTGGGATCGCAATTGCCATGAAATGAGCCATCTCTACAAGCACCTTCGAATCCACCAAGTATTCGGAGCGAACACAGACGTTGGAAAGACCATCATCACTACTGCTCTCATTCGGGCTTCGGCGCTCAATAGCAACCGCGTTTTTTATCTTAAGCCGGTGAGTACTGGTGCACCGCAGGATGCGGATGATGAGTGCGTGTTTTTCATCGCGTAGGATGCGTCGCTGAATATTGTTCTTTATATGCTAGACATATAAAACGCCATGCGGGGCCCCAAAAGCATCTAGTGGACGCTCATTGCTTGTTCCGCTATGGAGACCCCGTTAGTCCGCATCTTGCTGTTAAGATGGCTTCTGAGGCTCAAGGTGGACTCAAAGTGCGTGGTTGTTGATGTGACTTGTGATGAGCTGATGTTGGAGCTTGAAGGTTTCTGTACCTTCAGATGAAACGTTTGTTGGGTCGGTTGCGGAGCATATCAGAAAGCGGGCTAGGGTTGCGAGTGGGCCGGGTCACATGTATGTGGAGACTGCTGGAGGTGAGCACTACTTCAATACATTTTGATACTTCCTGCTAACTGATTTGCTCAGGCGTCCACAGCCCAACGCTTTCCGGAACAACCCAACTAGACACCTACCGCCCCCTCTTCCTCCCCACCATACTAATCGGAGACTCCAGACTCGGCGGCATATCATCAACTATCTCATCATTCGAGTCCCTCCTCCTCCGTGGATACATCATAGATGCGATCCTCTTATTCCGGGACGAATACTACAGGAATTACGAATACCTAACGCAGTATTTTGCAGAGCGAGGGACGCATGTCACTGCTCTTGACCCTCCTCCCCCACGTCTCGACTCTATAGAGAACGTTGCGAATACAGAGAAATACTACTCGGATCTTGTCCCAGACACCCTTAAAGGCGATATTTTTACTGCACTGGAACATCTAGACCAGTGTCACGTTAGACGCATCGAAGAACTAGACTCAATGCCCCGCCGTACGCTCGACGCGATCTGGTGGCCGTTCGTACAACACGGGTTGGTCAAGACCGAGAAGGACGTTTCGGTCATCGACAGCGCGTGGTCAGATTTCTTTAGCATTTATGATGCTTCTTCCGGGAAAACTTCACCTTCGCAACCAAAATCGCTATTGCAACCTCAACTGGACGGGTCCGCTTCATGGTGGACGCAAGCTGTCGGACATGCTCATCCGACGCTGGCACTTGCTGCTGCAAACGCGGCAGGACGTTATGGCCATATCATGTTCCCGCAGGCGACTCATACTCCTGCTCTAAAGCTTGCTGAACGCCTCCTTCAAGGACCGGGCAAAGGCTGGGCTTCTCGTGTATTTTTCTCAGATAACGGGTCTACCGGGATGGAGGTTGCGCTTAAAATGGCTTTACGATCGTTCATCGTCAGCTCTGGACTCGAGTTGAGTTCGCCGGAGAAGAAGAATTTGAGGGTTGTTGGACTAAAGGGGAGTTATCATGGAGATACGATCGGGACTATGGATGCTTGCGAGGAGGGGGTCTATACTTGTGAATGGCATGAAGCGAAGGGTTATTGGTTTGAGCCACCGACTGTGTCCATTCGGCAAGGCCGAGTCACTGTTTCCCTTCCACCTGCTCTGTCGTCTCTCACCAGTGATCAACGGACAATCGAAGGATTTGAAACACTCTCTCATGTTTATGATGTCGAGGAGCGTCTCGAGTCTCCGCTAGCAAAACACTACAGGCAATACCTAAATAAACACATGCGTAGCCTCCAGGCAGACGACACCCGAAAACTCGCAGCTCTAGTCATCGAACCCATCGTGATGGGCGCAGGAGGGATGATATTCGTGGATCCATTGTTCCAACGGATCATGGTCGACGTCGTCCGCGACCCCGCCCTATTTCCTACACCTCTCCCAGTCATCTTCGACGAAGTCTTTATGGGGCTATACCGCCTAGGATTCGAAAGCGCAGGTCCTCTACTCGGTGTCAACCCTGACATCTCAGTAAATGCCAAGATTCTCACCGGCGGTGTGTTGCCTTTGGCAGTAACGCTCGCGTCCGACCGTATCTTTTCGGCGTTCAAGAGTGAGAGCAAAGTGGACGCGTTGTTGCATGGACATAGTTATACGGCACATGCTGTTGGATGTCAGGTTGCGAATGCGACACTTGATTTGGTTGGTAGGTTGATGGAGAGTGATCCGTGGGTGGGGGCAATTAGCAAATGGACGCCTGAAGGAGCGTTGACGACGAAAGTGTGGAGTTTCTGGGATCCGGAGTTCATCACTTCGATATCTTGTCTGGATATTGTTGACGAAACAATGGCATTGGGAACCGTGCTTGCTATCAAGTTCAAGGATGATGATGCAGGTAATGTCGACCTATCACATTTTATTGTTCAGATTGCTTATGTGACTTGGTGGTGCAGGTTATGCATCGCATTCCGCTCAGACTCTCCTCCAGAGCTTGCGATTGCCACTGGATGATGGATCTACGTCCGCAGCTCCGGGAGGTGCGCCTTTTGGGGTGCATTATAGGACGTTGGGTAACGTGGCGTATTTCATGAGTAGCTTGAATACTCCACGTGCGACTATCGAGGCGTTGGAGGATCGGCTGTGGAGGCTTGTGTCCAGTCTACAGCGTTCGTAGCTTCAAGTTGACACATCACTCTCCCCTATATAGACGTGTAGTCGTTCTTTCTTGATTATGGTGATGTATATGTGGCATGCCATAGTGCCTGTGAAATTATGTACAAGCTTGAAGTAGTTATGGTGGCCCAGACTTACGATACACGACTGGCAGCGTGTACGTGATAGCTGGCTGATCTGACTCGGTAAGTTCTTAGAACTATAAATTTTGATCATAAAAAGTTATTGTACCTTTCCATCTTCTCTCCAGTCAAAATGGCATCCATCGCATCTCGTTCAGCCTCAGCCCTCCGCGCTGTTGCTCGCCGTGCACCCCGTGCCGGCACAAAAATCGCAGCGAAGCCTGCACACATTGCGTCCTACTCGTTGCTTACTCGCCAAGCCTTGACAGGCAGCTCGCGCACACCCACTCCGCAGGTGAAATTTTATTCACATTATGACTGAATAAGCTCTGACGCCCCAAGTATTGTAGGCTGCTCGAGGTGTAAAGACGCTCAACTTTGCTGGTACCGAGGAGGTTGTGTACGAGCGGGGTGACTGGCCTCTGGCGAAGCTTCAGGACTACTTCAAGAATGATACCCTCGCTCTTATCGGCTATGGTTCTCAAGGCCACGGTCAAGGCTTGAACGCTCGTGACAACGGCCTCAATGTTATCGTTGGTGTCCGTAAAGACGGCGAAAGCTGGCGGCAGGCTGTAGAGGATGGCTGGGTATGTTCATGTCGACGTGTCAGGTCTGCAGGCACCTCATAACACATCTCGATGTATCATTAGGTTCCCGGAGAAACGCTTTTCCCCATCGAGGAAGCTATCAACCAGGGCACGATTATCATGAACCTTCTCTCTGATGCTGCACAATCACAGACGTGGCCTACCGTTGCACCTCTGATCACCAAGGGCAAGACCCTCTACTTCTCGCACGGTTTCTCTGTTGTATACAAGGAAGACACAAAGGTTATACCCCCTAAGGACGTTGATGTTATATTAGTTGCACCCAAAGGATCTGGCCGTACTGTACGCACCCTCTTCAAAGAGGGTCGTGGAATCAACTCCAGTGTGGCCGTCTTCCAGGACGTCACTGGTAAGGCTATGGAGAAGGCCGTTGCTATTGGTGTCGCTGTCGGGTCAGGGTACATGTACGAGACTACCTTCGAGAAGGAGGTTTACTCCGATCTCTATGGTGAACGTGGTGTGCTCATGGGTGCTATCCGTAAGTGTTCACACGCTACAAGTTATTATCAGCTGATCATCTATCAGAGGGTTTATTCTGCGCGCAGTACAAGGTGCTCCGTGCCAACGGCCACTCCCCTTCGGAAGCCTTCAATGAAACCGTCGAGGAGGCCACCCAATCCCTGTACCCTCTGATTGGACAGAAGGGGTAAGTGTATGTTTTGTGTCGCGTATCCTTTCCCTCATGGTTTGTAGCATGGACTACATGTACAACGCCTGCTCCACAACCGCTCGCCGCGGTGCGCTCGATTGGGCACCCATCTTTGAGAAGACCAACACGCCTATCTTTGAGCAGTTGTACGAAAGCGTGCGGAACGGCACAGAGACCCGCAAGTCTCTCGAATTTAACGGCCGCTCGACGTACCGCCAAGATCTTGCCAAAGAGCTGAAGGAGATCGACGACCAGGAGATTTGGCGTGCAGGCAAGGTTGTGCGGTCACTGCGTCCCGATTACAAGCCTGAATAGATGAGCTTATGATTGGATCGAAGGTGCTTTGACTGTCTATTTTGTTACCAAAAGCGCCAAAGCGGTGCACACCATGTAGGATAGCACAATGTACGGCAATTTACGGATATAACTCTTGAACAAATGTTATGACCGACGCTCGAGATATTTCAGGCTTCGTGCGGCGTTAAGCATATCGATTTTCGCGCTTCTGAATATGATATATCGTAGACACATTCTGTCAAAGAGTCGTGCTATTCTGGTTCGGGGGGCGACAACGTCACGACAGTCGGTGGATGTCTATTCCGTTCGGCTGCTAATACTTACCACCGATATCGTTATCCAGAAATTGGTCGGTCTCTGAAAGGCGAACACAAGTGGAGGCTAAATCGCGAGAGTACCTGGCGTAAATAACTACCCAGCGAGGAATCCGAGAGATGATGGTGTATCGTGTATTCCGGAGAGTAACGTCGGATGGAGAGGACGAGACAACGGTGGACATACAACTCATTCCTCATGTGACAGACCTTTGAACAACCAGCGAGTCTAAAAGAATTGTTCAGTCGAGAATAGTGATTCTCTATCAAAGTGTTCAGAGATTCAAATAGATTGAAGGGTACACGTCGAACGCACGGATTGTCGTAGGACTTATGACGAATAGTCACACTGTCGGTGGCATAAAGGGAAAAAGCATTGCATAATCATTGGTCTGCATTCTATAGGAAGTTAGTGTAGCGATAAAAGTAACAGGCGTGCATAATCACAAGAGTAGAACTGTAGAAGTGGCCCGTGTTTTGATATATAAATATGTAACAGCCCACATGGAAGACATACTACGCCATTGATCACAACGGGAGAGCTGAGTGAAAAAAAGGTTGAGCACTGTAGCATGGGTAGCATCATTGGAAAGACTCACTCAAGGCCCAAGAACGTAAGTTGGTCTTCGTAATATCAGCACTCGCGTCCATCGCGAAACGGTACGATTCGAAAGCTTCTCCAAGCCTGCCAGCCCCAAGGAGCGCACGGATCAGTCTCTTGTTGGAGGTTGACCACAACGCCGCGATGTCCCATCCAAAGAGCTGCAAAAACGCGCAGTTGAGGATCGGTGAGTTTTTGGTGACGTCATATTCAACGCACCACAGTGAAAGCCTCCAAGGCAGTAGGAACAAGGGATCTAGCCAAGACAGCGCTAGCGTCGACAGCGGCACTGAAGTGCCCAACCGCCTCATTATGACGCGCGCCATTGAAGGCAATGATTCCTAGTTGGAGTCGCAGACTCGCCTGATGCACGAAGCGCAGACCCACCAGTCAGCGGACGAGCACAGGTGTGATTGCCAGGGGACTCACCACAACGATACCACAAGCGATGGGATCAGCAGAAGGATCAGCGGCCAGCTGATCCACACGCAGCATTGCCTCTTCGTGTCTATTAGCATTGAAGAGCGCAATAGCCTGAAACACGGTAAGGCGCGGAGTACGCAAGATGAAAAAAAATCAACGTGCCTTGATCAAGTAAAGAAAGACAGTAGCATCCATGTTTCCCTGCGTAAACGTGAATGCCAAGTCAAAGGCTGTCCTTGCGTCATCGAGGCGCTGCTTTCCGCAGAGAGCGATACCCTTGGCGATATAGCCAGCCAACGATGTCCTTATGACAAGGGACTACGAGAACATCGAAGTCAGCAGGTTTTGAGTTAGTGCATGATGGGTCGTTGTTACCTTGGTCGCATCATGAAGCGCATTGTCCCAGTCGAGTTTGCGTGCCAGAATGAAAGAGCGATTGGCATATGAGGCGAAGTTCTTGGCGTCGGTGGCAATCTCTTGAGTAAGGATCCGTTCAGCGGTAGACAAATCCCCTCTGATTGATGCAGTCCGGATGGTCTTAGTGATAGCAAGGAGCTCAGCCGTGGCGATGCCAAGCGTCTGCCGTGTGAACAAGCTTGAGTGACGCCGTACAAGTAAAGAATGAAATCATACCTTTAAAACAACCCGCTCAACCTTTGACTGAGACTTGTTAGCATATTGTTCTGCCTTGGACAGGTATTGCTCGGCCTTGAAGGCAGACTGCTCGAACTTGGTGATAGGTTGCTCGGCCTCCAGAACAGACTGCGAGTGGACAGTCGTCAAAGACGATTGCTGAGACCTGGAATCCAAGCTTGCGCGTGTCGAAACCGACTGCTGAATCCTGGAATCGGAGCTTCCAGCGATCAAAACAGGCTGCACAGACTTAGAATAGAGACTTCCGGTCACCGGATTAGATACTACGAGTGTCTGCGTGAAAAAAGCTTTGAATGGCGCCATACAAGTAAAGGACGGAATCATACCTGCCCGGCATTCAAAACAGACTGATCAAACTTTGTAACAGATGTTGCTGCCCCGGACAGAGATTGCTGGGAGTTGAAAAGAGACTGGTCGGCATGGGAAATTTGAGATTGTTCCGTGTGGACAGATTCAGATGACCGCCCATTCGCAACAGACTGTTGGACCTTGGTAATCGTCTGCTCGACCGTGGTGATAGGCTGTTCTGCCTTCAAAACAGACTGCGAGTGGACAGTGGTCAAAGACGATTGCTGAGGATTGAAATTGGAGCTTGCGTTCGTCGAACCCGACTGCTGAAACTTGGAATCGGAGTTTCCAACTGTAACTGTCAAAACAGGCTGCAAAGACTTGGAATCGGAGCTTGCGGTGGTCAAAACTGACCGCTGAAGCTTGGAATCGGAGCTTCCAGATGTCAAAACTGACTGCAGAGACTTGGAATCGGCGCTTGTGGTCCTCAAAACTGACTGCTGTAACTTGGAATCGGAGCTTGCAGTCGTCAAAACAGGCTGCAGAGTGGAATAGGGACTTGTAGTCACTGAATCGGTGACTACGAGTGTCTGCGTGAAAAAGCTTTGAATGACGCCATACAAGTAAAGGATGGAATCGTACCTGACCGGCATTTAAAACAGACTGATCCGACTTGGTGACAGATGTTGCTGCCCTGGACAGAGACTGTTCGGCATGGGAAATCTGAGATTGTTCAGTGCGGACGGATGTTGCTGCCCTGGACAGAGATTGCTGGGAGTTGAAAAGAGACTGCTCAGCATGGGAAATTTGAGATTGTTCCGTGTGGACAGATTCAGATGACCGTCCATTCGCAACAGACTGTTGGACCTTGGTAATCGTCTGCTCGACTGTGGTGATAGGCTGTGCAGCATTCGAAACTGACTGCAGCTGGACAGTCGTCAAAGACGATTGCTGCAGGTGAGAGTTGGAAACGGGGGTTCCTACAGTAATAGTAGACTCTTGAACCTTGTATTCAGTGGCTGGAACCTTTTTGATCAAAAGACGCGAATGAGATGGCGAATGTTCACTAATGAGCAAGAAGTTACCGTTGTCACGACTTCCTTCAAGTAAAAGTCGGGAGTGTCTAGTACTGGCAAAGTGCCCGCGGGTGCCGTCCATACCGAGACTTTCTTATCATAACCTCCACTAAGGATGTGTGCGCCATACGCGGAGAAGGCTGCGCAAATGACAGAAGAACTGTGCTGGAAAATGGCAATGGTTTGTTTATCGGAGAGCTGCCAGAGACGAACAGAGTTGTCGCTAGAGGCGGAAACTGCGTGCGTGCCAGCAGAATGAACGGCGATGGAGTTGATTTTGTACGTGTGGCCCGTCCATGGTTCACCGACCTGTGTCCAGCTCGATGTCTCCCACTCCCTAATGCTGGGATCATGATCATCTCCTCCCGAAAGAAGGCGCTTGGCATCAGGAGACCAGGCGAGTGACAAAATACCGTGACTGTGACCCTTCAACGTCGTTTGGAGTTTGCCGTTGGCGTAAATTTGGATGTCTTGATCTGTTGCCACTGCAAGTGCATGTACGTTGGACCGCGCATACCTAACACAGCGGACAGTATCACCGCATGCGTAATATCCGGCTTGCTCCCAAGTTTTGGTGTTCCAAAATTTGATCGTTTGGTCGTTGCGTGCCGCTGACGCGGTAACGATGAATGCATTGTCGGGTGAAAAGTCCAAGGAGCGGACTGCACTGCCGTGGGCCTTGGAAACTCTGGCGAGAGACTCTCCGGTTTTTGCCTGCCAGGCGATGAGCTCGCCGTTCTCGTCACCAGTCGCTATCAATTCCCCGTCTCTCGATACCGCCAATCCCATCACATCACCGGTGTGCCCCCCCAACTGCTTCAACACTTTACCTGTCTTCAAGTCCCAGAGACGGACCATCCTGTCCTCGGAGGAGGTCACCATCAGTTTGCTATTGGGAATATCTGCGGCTGCATAGATCGTCTGTGTGCGATCTTCGAACACCCAAGTGGGGTTGACGATAGGAGTGAGATGTGCCATTTTACTAGAAGTTGTTGGTGTTGAAAACTGGTGAGTGAACTTGGTGGAATGATTCTGGATGTAGCTGAAGTGGTGTGTACATTGTACGTTTTACTGTAGGTTTTATACTGCTTCACCAGACGCTAAACACATACATGGAGCTCATATTCTTACAGGTACCTTGCTTGCCACATCCCAGGTACATAGGAACATAATACCACATGCTTCTCTGAATAACGCTCTAGACAATCATCCACCCGGTGACATGTGAACTTCGGCTCCCTGCAAAAAAATTTCGGGAGATTTGAGATCTGCGCTGCAGGTGTGTATGTCATGTGCAGATTTCTATGCGATTAAGTGTTCTAACTCTGCTATCATTGGTGGGCCTTTTCGAGGTCGGTCACGGGTAAACTGCGATTCCATCATGACGGCAGGATCGAACGTTTTTCGAGCGGTGCCGCATCTGGCTTGTTGCTAGAGCTCCAGTGATCACGCTGAGAGAAAAACAATCTGACACGACTCGGAGCACTTCTCGATCCGAGTTCCCTGACCGCTAACTACAACCAGGCTGGCATCGAACAAGTGCGAGTACCTCGCCTTAACATAAAATTTACGGTCAGACTCTTGATTGTATCATCTTCGTACAGCATTCCTCCTGATTCAGATGTGTAGTATGCGTGTGTGTTCCAAGTAAGCACGACAATGGCAACGGGCTCACTATGCAATATAACAAACACTCCCTCAAGCAAAGACTCGGAACACATTGAAATAAAAATGCCTTCCCCTGAACCTGCAAGGCCGCCATGGTGCCCTTTCCGCACCTTTCCCACGAATCGGGGCAACTGCAGAACGTCCGCTTTCCGGCACCGATCGCAGACGCCCCTTCATCAATGCAGTGCTCGTTGTCTCCTCACTGGCTCCGCCGAAAGTTTGATTGAGTAAGTGTTTGACAACTTAAAGTCAGCAGTGCGATGACAAATGAATGGCCGAGTTCACGCCAGAATCCAGTCTTTTGGCTTTACATAATTTAAATCGGCCCAGACCGGTAAAATAAGACGCACTAATCCCATTTTTACGTTTCATGTTCGTTGGGAATGAAGTTGCGCCTTCTACCAGGGCAAGATGAAGAACGGTGTTGCCCTGAAAAGTTTCCGCGCGGTCATAGCAGACGTACCATTGCTTGGGGGACCCTAAGTTATCAAATTTTCTCGGAGCTCTGTATTGATTTTCTCATGGAGGTTGGATAGTTGCGAGGCTTCTCAAATCTCGTATGTACGCTTGCAAATTTGCAAGTGTTCTAACTCTGCTAACATTGATGGGCCTTTTCGAAGTCAGTCATGGGTAAACTGTAAACTGCAATTCCGAGTTTGGATCCGGGCTTTGAATCAGCGACTGCCGCTTGCAGCCATCCAGGTCCGTTGTTTGATTTTTTTTCTTGCTCGCTGAGTTCACTGATTCAATGGATTCTTTCGTATCAGTGTTCGCGTGCATTAGCGCACAGCCTTGCGGTATTCTGGCTTGAAATTTGAGATATCCTCCAATGTTACATCGCAGCTCATTGCGAGCTATCCCGCGAGCCACAATGCCACCTTGATGTGCTGACATTTTGCCCCGTTCCGTGTCCACTGGTGTCAGTCGTATGGTACACATTTTTACCACGTTCCCGTCATCTCGTCAACCTTACCGATTACCGCAAAATCTCCACGACATTCTGGAAGATGATCGTAACACGCTTATTGAAGATTTTTGACCTTTCATTACCCAAGAGGTACATTCCTCACCTGCTTTTGCTGCGTCTTTCACCCTTTTCGCATCAAAGAGCGAGGTCCTGATCCGTTGTACTCCCGGTGCAACAACCCTGCAGTTGCAAGGGGCATGTCACCTGTGTCATACAGAACCTCCCTTAAGCAGACTACACATTCGTGGTTGAACCGCACGCTCCGAATAGCACCTACGTAACTATGCCAAGACGACATCTCATCGTGCTCACTGTTAACGTGACATAGGACTCTGCTCATGTGAGCACAATGTGCATGAACTTTGTAGACTATTTTTAGAGAAATCAAGATTCTGGCAGCCTTTGCCTATATGCGCAAAGAGGGACGTGCGACTCGCATCACATTTGACTGAGCTTACGGTGCGCTGGATACCAATCTCCTGGCAATCTTCGCATCATCACGGGGGATTCGTACGTCCGACTATGGTGTAACTGGTTGATGCTATGTAGGTTTAGATACACAAACGGAACTTATGCACAGATTTATTGCATTTATTGATGTAGGTTCAACCCTGCAAGGAATATGACTTTAGCATGAATCATTGTACCGTTGTCTTCAATCCAAGCCTTCGTCGCGCTATCAATGTCACAGAAACAAGCGCCAGTACTTACGCCTCGATTTAGCGCCCAGGATTGTGACGCCCACATTTTTGATCGCATCACCACTCCAAAATAAAACCGCACGGCCACCGCAACGAGCCCTGTGGCGGAGGGAAAATCGCTCTGGCCTTCACGCCCAGGGGCGAACACGAGTTTGGAAGAGTATGGCACAGGTCTTCCCCGAAGGCAAAACTCCAGAGATTTACGAGCGAGAGAAGCTAAATCATCCCTTTACTGTGGTAAAGGCCTAGACCAATGATCATGAGACAGCCTGACGTCTCATCCGTTTGTGAACGAAAAGACAGGCATCCCAGCGTTTTCTTCCACGGTCGTAGCATTGTTATCACTTACAACTTGCCGGAGAATTGATACTTATGTTGTAGCATTCTCACTCGTCCGAGGTTCTTCAGTTCCCTGGGTTCTAACTTTGCATGAGTAATCACATTATGACTGAATAAGCTGCGACGCACAAGTATTCAGGCGGCTCGAGGCGTAAAGACGCTCAACTTTGCCGGTACCGAGGAGGTTGTGTACGAGCGGACTGACTGGCCTCTGGCGAAGCTCCAGCACTACTTCAAGAATGATACCCTCGCTCTTATCGGCTATTCCACAACGTGCGAAAATGAACAGGAGATGCGCAGACAGATACAACCATATGCATAGCTCGACGGTCCAGGTGGACTTCAAAATCAATCAAACTCAAGATGTTGACCACCGCGCTGTCTCAACTTACATATGATGTCTACATCACTTCCATAGTACATAATTCTTGTTCTACATGCATTAATGGATTGCCAGGCAGCGTGGGACGTGGTACATGTGAAATCTGCAACAATGACATTATGCTCAGACAACTGTTCTGCATCCTGCTGTCTTCGCCAACACTTTAAGTATCGATGGTCATCCTCTTCCGACATAAGGAACACCAGTCGCCCTACGTAATGAGTTAGTATCCAGAACCCAAGAAAAACGGTCGCACACTTACATGATAGTCATCTCCAGTACCGTGACAGACGTAGGGAGACTTGCAATGTGCGCAACCGCATCCGCAACGTGTATCGGATCGAAAGTCGGTTCAACGACTCTCCGACCATCAGGCTGCAATGCTCCTAAAGTATGCCCTGCAGCCATTGTTGTGTGCGCATTTCCTGGTAAAACCATCGTCGCATCAACCTCCTCCAATATTATCAAAGTACGCACCAATGTCAATCTGCGTCACAGAGATGTTGTACTTTCGCCCCTCGATGGCGATGGTCTTAGTTAAACCGTGCACGGCGTGCTTGGAGGCTGCGTATGAAACGGAATGAGGCCTTGGCACATGGGCAGCCAATGAGCCATTGTTGATGATTCTCCCTGCATAGGGACAGTGTAGATCAACACACTGCGGTTTCTCATCATCCAGCTTCACGAACCTCCAGTGGGTTCTTGTTGCTTGTATATCTTGAAAGCTTCGCGAACGCAAAGGAAGGAAGCAATAAGGTTGACATTAACGACCGATGTGAACATCTCAAGCGGCATCTCCTCGATGGGGCTCGCCTTGTCAGACAAGCCCGCATTCTGTTACATCGTCAATGCACGACTAAGATGTACCGAAAACCGCAGAAGAAGGGGCACACCACTCACGTTAAACAACAGATCAAGTCTACCGAATTTCTTCATGGTCTCCTCGAACAAGCTTTTTACAAAAGCTTCGTCTGTGATGTCGCCAGCAACGAGAATACACGCATCGGGATTTGCACAGAGGGATCTTGTCTCTTCGAGTTGAGCCAGCCTTCGAGCAGTCAGTGCCAGGCTCCAACCCTCAGAGGAGAGCTTGATAGCTGAATGGCGTCCGATACCTGAAAGCGGAAGTAAGTCTACGCACAAGTGCAAAGCGCAATCGATACGCACCAGAGGATGCCCCTGTAATCACTGCGACCTTTAACGATGACATTGGAAGGGTTGGTGTATGAAGTTGGGGATGAAGGTGGCTGGTCTGACTGTAGCTTGCAGCGGGGTGCGGATTTCCGTCCTGGCCGATATCCGGAGGCCGTATGCATACATGACTTTGTCAGTGAGAAGAACAACCAGGCTCGGGCTAATAATACCGGCCCGTGCGCAGTCCGATGGCATTCATGCAGTCACGCGGAAGCCTTGGCGTTAGCTCAGCGCGATAATGTCTCAGAGGCCAATGCGATCAGTGTTTAATTAAGTTCGCTATATACGGAAATGCAGCGGAAATGGAGAAAAAATTTCGAACACGTGCAAAGATCATCTCATTCGGCCTTCCCCTTGCCCTTGGAGTTCAGTCCGGTACCGTAGACCAGCGAATCAACACTCCCTTTTCTCCCCTGAATTTCCAGAAGCGCACCCCATACGGGGGTGAGCAAAGGCAAAAACATTGCCACACGCTCTTGGTAAGCTGAATATGCAACAGGGTACTTTGCCTTCGATATCGACTCAGTAAAAATCGTGGAAGAGAAGAACAGACTGCAAAGAACTAAACATGGAAGGAAGGGTGTGAGTGATGCGAACGAAGTCGGCGGAAAGTCGAGCTTCGGTGAATCAGGCGAGAAGAGAGGGATGAGTGTGATTATGATCTGGTATGCGTGTTAGTGATGTGCTTAACGGAATTGCGAAATGGAAGTATGCATACCCAGAAACTCTGTTCGCACAGGAAATTCGGGTGCCGTGACCAAGCCC